TTTCTGCATCTCTTGAGATAATCATATAATGTGGTGTATCATATTGATTTGTGGATATTGAACCATCCTTGCATGTATGGAATAAATCCCACTTGATCATGGTGAATGATCTTTTTAATGTATTGTTGAATGTGGTTTGCTAATATTTCCTTGAGGATTTTTGCATCTATGTTCATTAGAGATACTGGCCTGTAGTTCTTTCTTTCCTTTTTTTTTTTTTCTTGTAGTGTCTTTGGTTTTGGTATCAGGCTAATACTGTGCTCATAAAGAATGTATTGGGAAGCTTTCCTTCCTCTTCCATTTTTTGGAATAGTTTAAAGAGAATAGGTATTAACTCATCTTTAAAAGTTTGGTAGATTTCACCTGCAAATCCATCTGGTCCTGGACTTTTGTTTGTCGGGAGTTTTTTTGATTGATTGCTGATTCAGTTTCGTTGCTCGTAATCAGTCTGTTCAGATTTTCTATTTCTTTTTCATTAGTTTTGGAAGATTGTATGTTTCTAGAAATTTATTGATTTCTTCAAGGTTGTCTAATTCGTTGGCATGTAATTTTTCATACTAATCTATAATCATTTATATTGTTGTCAGTTGTTCTCTTTCATTTCTGATTTTATTTATTTTGGTCCTCTCTTTTATCTTGATGAGTCTGGCTAAAAGCTTATCAATTTTGTTTATTTTTTTAAAGAACCAGCTCTTGGTTTCACTGGTATTTTCCTTTTTTGAGGGGGGTATTTTCCTATTTATAAGACTTTATTTCATCTATTTCTACTCTGATCTTTATTATTTCCTTCTTTTAACTTTGGGCTTGTTTGTTATTTTTTTTCTAGTTCCTTTAGGTGTAAGATTGAGATTTTTCTTGTTTCTTGAGTTAGGACTGTATCACTGTAAATTTCCCTCTTAGAACTACTTTTGCTGCATCCCAGAGATTTTGGACCATTTTTTAAGATTTTACTTATTTATTTGACAGAGAGAGACACAGCGGAGAGGGAACACAAGCAGAGGGAGTGGGAGAGGGAGAAGCAGGCTTCCCGCGGAGCAGGGAGCCTGATGCGGGGCTCGATCCCAGGACCCTGGGATCATGACCTGAGCTGAAGGCAGATGCCCAACGACTGAGCCACCCAGACACCCCTCAATCTTCTTAAATGTAGAGTTTTTAAAAATTTTTTTTTAATTTGAGAAAGAGAACGGGGAGGGACGGGGGGAGGGGAGAGAGAGACAGAGAAACAGAGAGAGAGAGATTTCCATGCTGAGCATGGAAGCTGACATGGGACTTGATCTCACAACCCTGAGATCATGACCTGAGCCAAAATCAAGAGTCAGATGCTTAACCAACTGAACCACCCAGGCACCCCTTAAATGTTTTGTGGCCTAACAGGTGATCAGTCCTGGAGACTGTTCCATATGCACCTGAAAAGAATGTGTGTTGCCTTGTTTTTGGATAGAAAGCTCTGTACATGTCTGGTTTTTTTGTGTTTTTGTTTGTTTGTTTGTTTGTTTTGTCTGTTAATTTGAGTCCATCTGGTCTAATGTGCCATTCAAAGACACTGTTTCCTTATTGATTTTCTGTCTGGATGATCTATCCATTGATGTAATTGGGATGTTAGTCACCTACTATTATTGTATTACTGTCAATTTTGTTCTTTATGTCTGTTCATATTTGCTTTAGGTATTTAGATGCTACAATGTTGGGAGCATAGATATTTATAACTATCATATTTTCTTGTTGGACTGATCCCCTCATCATTTTATAATGTCCTTCTTTGTCTCTTGTTAGTCTTTGTTTTAAAATCTGTTTTGTCTGATGTAAGTAAGTATTGCTACCTCGGCATCCCCCTGCCTCCCCCCACTGCCATTCACTCCCACCCCTGCTTCCATTTGCATGGCATATCTTTTTCCATCCCTTCATTTTCAGTCTGTGTCTTTAAGTCCGAACCGAGTATCTTGTAGACAGCATATAGATGGGTCTAGTCTTTTTTATCCATTCTGTCACCCTCTGTCTTTTGTTTTTTTGTGTTTTTTTTTTAAAGAGAGAGAGAGAAAGAGAGAGCACATGAGAGGGGGGAGGGTCAGAGGAGAAGCAGACTCCCTGCTGAGCAGGGAGCCCGATGCGGGACTCGATCCTGGGACTCCAGGATCATGACCTGAGCCGAAGGCAGGCGCTCAACCAACTGAGCCACCCAGGCACCCCACCCTCTGTCTTTTGATTGGAGCACTTAGACCATTTAGATTTAAAGTAATTATTGACAGGTGTGTGCTTATTGCCATTTTGTTAAGTGTTTCCTATTGGTTTTTGTGACTTGCCAGCTATTGATGACTGCATAAAGCTGCTAAAGAACAGGTTTTTGTGTGGATCTATGTCCTCATTTCTCTCTCCCACATCCAACTTTCTTCAATACATATTTTGTAGTGTTTTTATAATGAACTGGTGTTATTTATGTAATACAAATCAACAATGAGATACCACTTTCTGCCTTTCAAACCAGCAAGGATTTTTTTTTTTTTTTTGATAACTAGAAGTCTGTACCTCTTAATTCCCTAAACCTATTTCACCTGTCCCCTCCCCTTCCTCTCCCTCCCCTCTGGCAACCACCAGTTCTCTGTTTATGAGGATGATTCTGGTTTTTTTGTTCATTTGCTTTGCTTTTCAGATTTCATATATAAGTGAAATCATATGGTATGTGTCTCTCTGACTTTTTCACTTAGCATAACACCCTCCAGGTCCATCCATGTTGCCACAGATAGCAAGATCTCATTCTGTCTTATGGTTAATATTCCATTTTGTGTGTGTGTGTACATACATATATACACACACCTATATATACTCTGTATGTACACACGGACACACACACACATATACATACACCACATCTTTATCCATTCATCTATCAGTGGACATTTGGGTTGCTTCCATAATTTGGCTATTACATATAATGCTTCAGTAAACACAGGGGTATATATATCTTTTTGAATCAGTGTTTTCATTGTCTTTGTGTAAATACCCAGTAATGGAATTCAGTATTTCTATTTTTTAATCTCTTGAGGAACCTCCATACTGTTTTCCACGGTGGCTGCACCAATTTACATTCCCACCAACAGTGAATGAGGGTTCCCTCTTCTCCAGATCTTTTTTTTTTTTTAAGATTTTATTTATTCATTTGACAGAGAGAAAGAGAGAGAGCACAAGCAGGGAAAGCAGCAGGCAGAAGGCGAGGGAGAAGCAGGCTTCCCGCTGAGCGGGGACCCTGATGCGGGGCTCGATCCCAGGACCTGACCTGAGCCGAAGGCAGACGCTTAACCGCCTGAGCCACCCAGGCGCGCCACCTCTTCTCTGCACCTTCCCCGACACTGACATCTCGTCTTTTTGACACTAGCCATTCTGACAGGTGTGAGGTGGTACCTCATCATGGTTTTGATTTGCATTTCCCTGATGGTTATTGGTTTCATGTATCTGTTGGCCATCTGTATGTCTTCTTTAGAAAAATGTCTTTTCAGGTTCCCTGCCCATTTTTAAATCAGATTATTTGGGGTTTTTTGGTGTTGAGTTGTATAAGTTTTTTATATATTTTGGGTATTAACCCCTTGTCAGATAAATCATTTGCAAATATCTTCTCTCATTCAGTAAGTTGTCTTTTCATTTTGCTGATGGTTTCCTTTGCTGTGCAAAAGCTTTTTATTTTGGTGTAGTCTCAATAGTTTATTTTTTGCTTTTGTTTCCCTTGCCTGAGGAGACACATCCATAAATATGTTACTAAGGCTGATGTTCAAGAGATTACTGCAAACCAGCAAGGATTTTAAGGCAACGATACTCAGCTTTGTTGAGGGTACTGTGCATCATCTAGTTGGTCTTTTCAGAGGACAGTTTGGCATAATGAAGCAAGAAGCTTGATACATGTGTGCCTTTGGGTGGGTAATTTCACTTCTAGGAATTCAGCCATTCAGCGGATGTTTGCTGACCTACCTACCCAGTGTACTGAGCCCCCAGCAGGGTGCCGGGAAGCCCGTGGTGAGACAGGGGTTGTCCCCACCCCCAAAGCACCCTCGGCAGAGGCAGGACAGTTATCACTCAAGTGTCTATTCAGGGACAGGGTAAGAAGATCTGCAAAGGAGCTCCTGTCCCGGCTTCTGAGTACCAGCCCTGTGTTGAGCAGCTGTGTGACCTTGGGCAAGTCCCTTTACCTCTCTGAGCCTGATGAAAGCTCTTCTGCATCAAAGTCTAAGGAGCTAAGACCTATAGAGGAGCTGGCTCACAAGCCAGGCTTCCCTCTCCCTCAAAGTTCCAGGGAGGTAGAGACGATGGTCGTAGAGCTCCGGGAATATGCGAATACATTACATATTACAGACAGTATTTATATAATTACATCTGATAATTCACATACTTTAGAAAGAGGATTTTCATAAGTATATGAATTGTATGTCAATAAATCTATTTTTTTTAAAGATTTTTATTTATTTATTGAGAGAGAGAGAGAGAGAATGGTAGAGAGAGAGCATGAGAGGGAAGAAGGTCAGAGGGAGAGGCAGACTCCCTGCTGAGCAGGGAGCCTGATGCGGGACTCGATCCCGGGACTCCAGGATCATGACCTGAGCCGAAGGCAGTCGCTTAACCGACTGAGCCACCCAGGCACCCAATAAATCTGCTATTTTAAAAAAAGGGAAATCTCTAACAAGGAACCAACTCTGCTAAAAATGTTTTTCTGGTGGGAAATGAAAGCTTTATGAAAATTAGATTTCCGGAAACAAGGAAAAACCTCTAGGGGAGAAGGAGACTCTATGGTTAACTTCAGAAATGGGTGCAGACAAAAGTCTAGGTGACAAAGGAACCACTTGCTTCTCCGCCTGCAGCTGACCACTACTAACCTTTGCCACAGAATAGTGCTGGGTATCCTGTAATTAGTAGGAATGGGAAGCCCAGGGAGCAAAAAGCTCTTCCAAGGCCTGCTGGCTCCAACTGTACCCACAGCTTCTCCCCACCCTCTGCCCATCGGTTGGTTATAATTCCAGATACCTGAAGCCAGATGTGGACAAGAAATCTAAACATAAGACAGCAGTAAAGAAGAAGACCCTGAACCCTGAGTTCAATGAGGTACAAGGGGCTGGCGAAGCTGCTTGCTCTCCCCCAGGGCAGGGGGCCTGGGGGGACTGAGTTTTCCAAGGGCTACTGTGGGAACTGAGGGGTGGGAGGGGCCACCAGGAGAGCCCTCGGCCACAGGGGGGGCAGGGGAGAGACAGGCCAGGCTGAACCAGGCCAAGGTGGAATGGATGGAGGGGCAGGGAAGCCTGGAAGGCTCTTTCCAGGGTCAAATTGATGGGACATGGCCACGTAGGATGTGGAGGTGGAATGGGGGAGCCCAACAGCAAGAGGGGAGGTGCAAGTGAGGTGGGGGAAGCTCTGGGTGGGATGTGAGAATGTGAGATGCCCTGGGGCCTTGAGAAGGTCTGGTCCAGGTGGATACCCAGGTCCTCAGCTCAGGGGCCAGATACATCTGGAGAGGAGCAGAGGGGCCTAGGGAAGAGCCTGAGTGACGGAGGAGCCGGCAGAGGAGACTAAGGAGGTGCTTCCAGAGGGTGAAGGGGATACCAGATGTCAGATCATCCCAGGCGCCTATGGAAGAGAGAGTTTCACAAAGAAGGGAGTGGTGAGCAGAGCAGACCCAAGAGAGGTCAGGCACACCAAGGCCAGCACGTGTGTATTGATCTGGCAGTAAGGAAGCTCTTGGGGATCTGGAGAGAGCAGCTTCAGGGACAGAGGAGCAGGTAGGTTGGAGGGCAGGGGGCCCTGAGGACCCAGCCAGGCTCCAGGCAGAAGTGGGTGGAATGGGTGAGAATCTGCCCTCGTCTACCACCGAGCACTGACCATCCTCCCTCCCTCCCTCCCTCCCCTCACCACACCCCTCACCACACCCCTCACCACACCTCAGAGCCTTCCTGGCCACTGGCCAAGTTCCAGGCCCTGTGGCCTTGGCCCTGACTCTCTTCTTCTGGCCACCAGGAATTCTGTTACGAGATTAAGCATGGGGACCTGGCGAAGAAGACTCTGGAAGTCACTGTTTGGGATTATGACATTGGAAAATCCAACGACTTCATTGGTAAGAGCACACGATGAGAATGCCGTTTGGCCACATGGCCCTGAATCCAGGCCACAGCCCCTCCTTCCTGGCCTCTATGGCCCCAGCTGTCCCCCAGACTATCTGCCCTCAGACACAGGGGGCCTCAGACCTTATCCAGTCTGGCTCCATGTGACAGACGAGTAGACGGGCCCAGAGAGGGAAGGAGGCCTGGGAAGGCCACACAGCGGTCTTGGTGGAGCAGGGGTGCGAGGTGATGGTGGTCGGTGCTTTGGACTGCGGAGCGCGGTGGCCCCAAACTCCTGGTCGGCTTCATTTGCTGTGCAGAGTAGAGCTGCGCCCATCCCTCGGCCCCCAACGCATGACGTTGCACTTGGCCCCCCGCCTCGCTCCGGTCCTGGAGAGGGGAAGGACGGGCCCCCAGGGCCCTGATCGGGCGGGGGCAGGAGGGCCGGCTAAGAGTGCGGCGTGGCTGGCAGAGCACTGCCCAGCTTCAGAGCCCGGCGGGCGGGGTGGGGAGAACAGCCGTGGAGCACGGAATCGGGAGGTGGTGGCCTTGGGGTAGGGGCACCTGCCCCCAGGCCCCTGGGAGTCACCGTGTCCCCGGCCCCCCCCCCCCCCCCGGCTCCCTTCCCGCAGGCGGTGTGGTTCTGGGCATCAACGCTAAGGGCGAGCGCCTGAAGCACTGGTTTGACTGCCTGAAAAACAAGGACAAGCGGATCGAGCGCTGGCACACGCTCACCAACGAGCTCCCGGGGGCCGTGCTCAGCGACTGACCGGCCCCCGCCTGCTGCCGCACCCACCCCTGCCTGCCTCCTGGCCCAGCACCGGCCTGGCCCTGGGCCTCCTCAGCTGCCACCAAGGGCCTCGGCCCTCATCTTAGGGGAGATCCAGGATGCCCGCTCGGACACGGCGCCCCGGCGGCCCCTGCTCGGAGGCTGTGGAGGGCCCCGCCGCTCCGGGGACGGCAGGGCCAGAGAGCCGGGCCTGCTCTGGGGGCCCAAGAAGGCGGGAGCGGGGAGAGGACCTTGGCCTCCGCGCCCACCCCAGGGAAGGGAATGGGGCCGTCCGGGGGCTGAGGGCCCTAGTGGAGGTCAGCAGTAAGTCACGGGGACCCCAGGCTGAGAGAACAGGAGTGCAGGGGCGCCTTGGCAGGGCCAGTGAGAACTCCCGAGAGGGACGTTAGGGAGAGGGGCGTGGGGGGGGGGGGAAGGAGATTTGGGAAAGTATTCCCAAAAAGGAGGTTCTTACTACATCCGTTCATCTCTGGCATTACTGGGCGGGTGGAAAAAAGCTGACCCGAGAGCAAGGAGTGTGGTAGTTCCTACAGGCTCTCACTGAACATGGGCAGTTGGCAAGCACTTCACTCAGTGATTCCACAAGCCCTTGGAGATGAATGAGACCCAGGGCCTGCCCTCTGAGAGTTCCTTGTCTAATCAAGGAGCTAAAAACAAACCATCACAACAGGGAGGGAGGAATGCCAAGGCCAGGCTGACATACCTGTGAGTGCCATGGACTCTGACTCTCCTGGGAGGCAGGGAGGGCTTCCCGGAGGAGGTGATGCTTCAAGGCCTTGAAGGGTGAATGGAGTTTCTGGGCAGACAAAGGGGAAGGGCAATGTGTGCAGTGAGAATGATCTATAAAAGCCTAGAGGGGAGGGTATGGTGATCGGGCTAGGGTCTCTGTGCAAGACCTGGGGTCTCACTCTGGAGACAGGGTTGTGTTAGGACAGGAGTGGGGCCTAGAGGTGATGTCACCCACCCCAGCTCCCACCCCACCCCTGCCTGCCAGGCCAGCCCCAGCTCATAGCTCTGGGGGAAGTGATGGCAGCACCGTGGTGAGACTGATCTGGGGGCAGGGTCTAGTTCACTCCTCAGACCCAGTTCTCCCAACTTTAATCTTCCTCCTCGCAAGGAACCTGGAGGCTGGATCCCGCCTCTCAATTCTTACCAGCTGAACAGCTGTAATCAAGAAAAGGGTCCCCCCCCCCGCCTTTTTTTTTTTCATGAAGCAAAAAGTCGCCCATCTTCACCCCCTTCTTCCTTTCACCCACCCCCCGCTTCTGAGTCCAGGCCTGGGGAGTGAGAGGTCCCGGTGAACGCCCACACATCCTGGCCTTCCTGTGGCCACGGACGTCCCTCTCAGGAGTGCTGGGCGGCAGTCCAGGGCCTCCTTTCTGAGAGGCCTGTGAGGCTGGCTCCTGCCTCCACGGGCTGAGAGAGACACCCTGCCTGATGGGCCTGGCACCCTGAGTCAGACTGAGGGCATCGCAATTTGGGGGCCCACGTGCGAAGTCCCAAGCTTTTCCTGCCTACCGAGGGGCCTTCGAGACTGCTGTATGAACAAATGCGGAGCCAGGGAATCCGTGTGTTTGCCCCAGCACTGCACTAACGGAAAACAGAGGCCCAGAGAGGGAGAGTGGCCAGCCTGAGTGAGGCCTCCCTGCGCTCCCACAGCTGGGGTAGGCCAGGCTTCCTGGCCCCCGCCTCGGCCCCGGCGCAGAGCTGCGGAAGGAGCTCCGTCCTGTTAGCCGCCTGCCCGGGGCTCAGCCCTGCCTGCCGCAGACACGAAGCACATCACCGTCTGAGGCCTCGGGTGATGATTCGAATTCCACCAAGTGCCCGTCGGCCGTTGCCCAGTCTGCGAGGACAGCAGGCCCCGGGCCCCCACACCGTACCTGGCAACTTGGCTGGTCGCAGAGCCTTGGTTTTCCTGTCTTTGAGGCGGCTCTGTGTATGTTAAGGGTTTTACACGCACTGTCTTAATGGATGTTCACAATTCTGTGAGGTGGGTTTGTCATCTTCAGCTGACAGACGGAGAAACAGATTCAGAGAGGCTGAGTAGTCTGTCAGTGTCACACAGCGGGGAAAGGGCAAACCAGGACTCAGCCCAGGTCCTGTGACTGCCACGTCCTCTGGTTGTCTGGGAGACAGTACTCGCCAGTCCTCTCCCTCCCGGGCTGCTCTGCAGACACGCTCAGAAGACTCGGGAAGCTCTGGCGCGTGATGGAGGGGTGGGCCCCCAGCGCTGTCCTGTGGCCTCATCCGCTGGATGGCCTTGAAAGCACTGATCCACTTAGAACGTCCCCAGAGGCCCCCAGGGTCCAGGCCCGGAACTCAGCCACCCCTCCCTAACCTCTGAGTCCGCGGGCCAGGCCTTCCTCCTCATGGGGGCTGAGGCGGGGGCTCCTCTTTTCTCCCCGAGGCTGGAGTGGGGGGAACCTCTGGGGGACTGAGGAAAGAGCTGGCCTGTGTTTGCGGGGCCTCCCAGCTGGGTGAGTCCTGGGTATCTTCCAGCTTTGCCTCTCCGAGGGCCTCCTTAGGAAAGGAGCTCCAGAGCTGCTCTGTGAAGATACCGAAGTGCTACATGGCAAGGCTAGAAGGGCCCGTGAGTCTGACCCAATACAACGTCCTTGTCAGACACCGGGGAAACTGAGGCCCAGCGAGTGTAAGGAGCCCATGTAGGGCTCTCTACTGCCCCAGGTTGTGCAAGGGTAGACTTGGTCCCAGCTGACCACAGGGACAGGTTGGAAGATGGGTCTAAAGGACAACCAGCCCAAGTGGGGGGTGGGGCGCCTAGGGAGGAGACACCCCCCTCCTCCCCCCCCGGGAGTGAGGAACTCTTCTTCGCCAGGGCCGGGCACTGCTCCTGACCCCTCACTGACGGGATTTCTGTGACAGCTCTTTGGGACGCTGCAGTCATCCGCTCTGCCTTCGACCTCAGACTGGCATCCTTCCTCTGGTCTGTCAGCCCCACACGAAGACGGGAACGTTGGCGCCCCTCCCCCACCACGGCCAGAAGCCATTCCCAAGTCTGGTGTCTGTAACCAGGAGGTCGCCCGACGGCGCGCTGCTCCCTCCACGCCCGCCTCTCCCCGCCCCCCGCCCCCCGCCACCACTAGCCAATCCCAGACGGGCCCGCCTTCCACCCCCGGAGCGGTGACCGACTGGCCCCTAGCGGCGAGAGCGGGAACTGCGCCTCCCGGCCCGTGCATGTCCGGCCATTTGTTCGTTCTCACAGCAAGAGAACCTCCGATGCATGGACTCTGGCTGTCGACGCAGACGCTCGCGCACTGCTTACCACCGTTTTGCTACCATGTGGCGGCTGCACAACACGTCCTTAACCTGCAGCCCCACACTCGATTTTTGTACTTTCGTCTGACCTACTCGATGTCCTTTTTAAGTCTTATTTGTTAATATTTATAATGACCTATAATTCAAAGTAAATGAAAACGTTCACTGCAATCGCGTTGGCTTGAGAGACTCCTTCAAATAGATTTGGATGAAAGGACCGGAAAGAACGAGAGAATGGCAACCGAGGCGCACTCAGCACGTTGTCTCCCTTAACGCTCCACCCAGAACTCATTGAGGGTAGGTTTCGAGTTACAGATGGGAAAACAAAGGCTCAGAGAGGTTAAATATTCGTGCTGAATCACACACCTGGTAAGCAACACAACCAGGATCCAACTAATGCCCCCCCGGACTTTCTATGCCAGGATCAGCATGCCATGCTGCCATGCACTCATTCAACAGACAGCTGTGGAATATTAACTCTACCACCAGGCACTGGTCTAGGCACCTGGGGGCTGATTCATCAGCAAAGACAGCCAGGGCTCGTGGGTTTGAGCTCCACACTAGGGGTAGAGATTACTTAAAAAAAAAAGACAAAGGAATTAGGTGTGGGGGGGTTGGGCTTAAATAGGGAGGTGAGGTGGACCTCCAAAGAAAGTGACTTTTGATCTAAGACCCAGAGGGGAGGAGGGAGGGAGTTATGGAGATACCTGGAATGGAATGTTTAGGTCGGGGAATGGCCAGTATCCCTAGTGATGGGGACAGGTGTGGCATGACTGAGACTAACAAGAGCAGGGTGAGGCAAGGGAAGAGCCCTAAATGAAGGCACAGACCAGGGGACCAGGTCAAGTAGCACTTTATAAAGACTGGTTTTCACTCGGTGTGAGATGGGAGCTTATTTCAGTTGTAACAGGGCCACCTGGTAGAAGACAAACCTGCAGTCTCTCCTCTTAGATATTCCACCACCAGTGAAGGCAGCAAACCCCACACAAGCCCAGAGCGCTAAGGGAGGGTAAAAAAGAGAAAGATCATTTGAGGAAACGCAATTTGTTCTTGTGCTATTTCAGCAGGAAGGGAGTCCTTAAGGACTCTAAGAAAATAATAGGAACCAGAGAGAAGATGCCAGAACTATTAGCAGTAGTAACACCCATATAGAGCTCTCAGACATGTAGACTGCTTTAAGTATTATACTCATTTATTCCTCATAATTATAATGTTTCAGTCCCCATTTTATAGATGGGAAAACTGAGGAACAGAGGAGCATGCTTAAGGAATAATTAAAGGGTAGAGCTGGGATTTGGACCCAAGCCTTGTGGCTCCAGAATCCATACTCTTAATCTCTACCCTATGCTGCTATAAGAAGCAAATGGTGTTGCCACGTCTAGTGGAAGATGCCCAGGTTCCACTAGGTTTCTTGTAGGTTTACCCTTTTCATCCCCCAAGCTCCCAGAACTAGCAGGGTCCTGCTCAGCCAGGAAAGATTTTCCAGGGCTGACTCTCAGGGTCCTTGTCATCTGGACCAAAGGCTATGCTCACCTTTGCCCAGTGGGTTCCTATCTGTCATGGGCCCCAGTTCCCTTCTGTGTGTCCCCTGGCCACAGGTAGGCACGATCTCTTATCTGGAGAACATGTTGAACTGGGGAGCATTTGTGTGGCTTCCCAGGGGCTAGCTGTGAGCCAATGGAATTACTACATTATGAGAATCAGAAAACTGGGAAACCAAGATCTCTCAGAGCTTCCTGGGTTTTCTTTACTGCTCTGCACCTTCCTCCATCTTGCCTCTGTCAACACAGGCTTTCTGATTCATTAGTAGACAAATGATCCAAAATGGTGGCCTCA